GAGGGTTGTCAGCATCTGCGCACGCGTCGCCCCTGTGTATCTGTCCTTAAATTAAGCGGGCCATATGTTTCCACGCGGCCAGGCCCGACCTGCATCGTCTATTGGGATCTGGCCACGTGTCACCATATCATCCATCGGTTTGCGCTTCTTTAAAAAAAAAAAAAAAAAAAAAAGAAAGGCGGGCGCTTCCCGGTCGCCTGATATCTGCGGACAGATGCTGCTTCTCAGGGTTTTTTTTTTTTTTTTTTTTTTTTTTTTGTTTAGGGAACTTAGGTTTTCCCTTTTCTTTTTTGTTGTTGTTTTTTTTTTTGCTTTCTATTTTTAGTTAGTTCAATAGATTATAGTGGTTTACTCTTTTCTTCACCTTTTCCATAGCTTTCTCTCTCATTCTTTTACCCTCCTCTCCTCCTTTCTTCCCCCAACTACAACCCCATCATCTCCCTCACCTACCACTTCAATCTTTTCTCTTTTTTTTTTAATCACTTTTTCATCCCCTCCCCCCCCACTTCGATTTTGTTTTCTTTTTTTTTTTTTTTTTTCTCTTTTTTTTTTTTTTTTTTTTTTTTTTCATCACTCCTTGCCGCCTGATTTACGCCGCGAATACTTGTTTGTTTTTTTTTTCAGGGTTGTTTGTTGAGGTTTTCCCGGCCTCTTTTTATTAAGCAAAAATACTCCGTGCCCGGCTTGCCGCCTCATTTACGCCAACATTAGGGGTTTTTTTCCCCCGGGTTGTTTGTAGGTTTTTTTTTTCCCGGCCTCATTTCTTGATCTCATAAATGTCTAAGTTTCTGGTTAAGAAGCATGATATATATATATATATATCGTCACAAACAGAACTGCCCGGTAAACCGTAGGCAGAGAGAGAGAAGAGGACAACAAACGAGGGGCTGTGACAAACTGTTTCGTCGGAGTTTCACCGACTCGTCAGGAGGCTGAACCCTCAACAGTCTGCAGAGTCCCCTCACTGATTACACTGTAAATGATAATCTACCTTAACCAAAATCAAAGTAGACTATCACTCACCCACACCAGATGGAAAACTCTATATATAAATATATGTACATATATCGTATATATATTCTGTTTGACGATATATATATATATATATATCGTGAATTAATTTTTTTATGTAATTTTGTTTAGCAATTAAAATAAACAAAAAACATGAGTTCAAACAAGTCGATTTGAATTAGAAAAATAAAATAAGGGATCAAGAATAAATATAAATAATAGTAACCAAGTAAAAATACTAAACAATAATCAATATTTTTATCCAAAAATCGAAGGCAGAAATGACGGGAACCAGCATTGTATCATTCCTTCACAATGGCGGCTCCGATATAGTCCACATCGAAGATCAACGTGGAATTCGGTGGGATGATACACGTGTCAGGCGTAACCCCTCGACAGCCGGCTCCTCTCTCTCCATATCCTAACCCGGGCGGAATAACGAGGGTTCTTCGGCCCCCCGGGAGCATGGCAGGAAGGTCATCGGTCCCAAGGATCCCGACATCCCAGCCCTTGATTACCTCCCCGACCCCGACGCGGAAAACGAAGGGTCTTCCCCGATCATAACTGCTGTCGAAAATCCGACCGTTGGAGGCTAATCGCCCCGTGTAATGGGCTTTAATCAGCATGCCTTTCTGCGGCGCGTCGCCGTCGCCGACCTTGATGTCGCAAAACGACAAACCGAGGGGGGTCTCAGTGAGCTTCGTGAAGCAGTCGTCAGCGAGTGCCACGTCAGCCGATGACGTGGCAGCGGCGACGGCGGCGGCGGCCGCCAACGCGGCAGCGACGACCGCGGCCCATTGCCTGCGACCAACCGCAGTCGCCGTCGTCTTCCTGTCCAGATCGCGACTGACAGCGGTAGCGTCGCCGCAAACTGAGCCGGCCGTCGCTGCCACGTCATCCCGGGAGGTCGCCGCCCGTTGCGATCGCAACAGGGCTGATGCCGACTGCCTGCCTGAATGCCCCGCATCTTCCCCCCCCGCTCGCCCACCGACCAACCCTCGGGCCATCGACGACGACGACGACGAGGGCGGCGAGCCCATGGCTTCGCCGCACAGCCCCCGCTGGCCCCCTCCAGCACCTGCGCCACGGACGCTACCTAACGACCTCCCAGAGCATAGCGGTTGCTCCGCAGCACGCCACGTGTACGTGTACCATCTTCTCCTCGGCTGAGGCGGTAAGCTCACAGCAGATCTTGCAAGTGGACGAGAGGAGAGAGTTGTTGTCCGCCGCACGATTCTCGAGATACGACAAGCTGGAGACCTGCGCCCACAGCTGGCCGCCGCCAATCCCATCGATGGCGAGATTGCCCCAGCCATTTTCAGAAGCGTTTATTTTACACGCGTGACTCTCTCTCTCTCTCTCTCTCTGACTGCCCAGAAGTGGCTCGGCTTAACCCGCACACACGTGGCCTGGCTCTCTTCCTCGGACACGTGGCTTTCCCCACGATCTAGATCACTGCAGCCAGACAGAAGAGAACCACTGCACTGAATGCACCCCTCCCCCGTCGCCATCACCGCCCCCCACCCGACGCACCACCCCTTCACCCGCTTTTCCCTGTCATAGGGCCTCGCTGCACTACTCTCGACATGCACAACAGACAAAAATCATGGCGATGTATCTTTCCATATTCTAACGGAAGATTCACTCTCGTTTTGCACATTTCGAGAGTAGTGCAGCGAGGCCCATAATTATCGCCCCTCACCTACCGCTCCCCTCTGGAGGCACCGACCGGAAGATGTCCGAAGGTGTAATAAAAAATTTGAAAAAAACGAGTCCGCAGCCATGTAATCGTTGATAACGCCTGAGTTCGAATCCTGCAGTGACCTGGGGCCGGCCTTTCGGTGTGTTCTGGGCACTCCGGCCCAGTGAAAGAACAGGAAAGGGAAAGAAGAGAGGACATGTCGAAGGTACCGTTCGACTTCATAACCTGTTTTTGCGAACAGCTATATGTGTGCAGGATTCTGCCACGTTTTTCCTGTTTTTTTTTTTTTTTTTTTTTTTTTCAATTCACTCACCTTTCAACGACTAGTACCTTTCCCGCGTGGGAAAATAGGGAAAACTGGCTGTTTTCCCAAACTCCTGAATTTTCGGAGGTTGGGCCCGACTACGACTGCCATTGATAAATCTGATCGGCGGCCGTCGTTTCGTTTCCACCTCTAAAAAGGTCGGACGCCTACCCGAGGCCCGCTATTTTCCCAAGCGGGCAAGGTCTTCTACCCCTTGAGTGGTAAGAGCCCCAGAGGGTAGAAGCGGCGAGGTTCCCATGGCTCCTTTCTGTTGGTGCGGAGCTGCACCTGCTGGAAACCGGGTCCAGCGTCCCTTCCAATGGATAAATCTGGAGGAAACTCCTCAAAGTTCAGAAACTTTCTGGGGCTAACAGCAAAAATGGGACCTCTTCACCCTAAGGCGCCTGAGGTGAGTTAGCCACTAGCCCCACTACCCACTGTACCCAAACTTGTAACAAGGAAAAAAAAAGAAAAAAGTAGCAAGTTAATAACCAATTCTGAGGAACAGTAAATGCTGCAATTAGCTCAGTAACTGAAGACTACCATCTTCCCCCGAACACAACGCACCCTTATTTTGGCTGTATCTGGCCTGAAATATAGCTTGTATACATTCATTTTTTGGGTGCGTTATGTTCGGGGGAAGAAGGTAGCCACTGGATAATGAACAACCTAAGGTTTCCCATATACGAAGTTTCAAAAAAAAAAAAAAAAAAAAAAAACTGAGCAAGCCTATCCTTTTGGCAACTGCCTTTCAATCTATCAATAACACTGTCATGCAGGTCAGGGACCTCGCAGCCAAGGTTCAATAGTCTCTGTGTTCAATAATGTTCAATGATTCTGTGATGATTTTATGAACCACCATTACTTCCGGCCCACTTTCTTACCGGACTTCAAACGCCCTGCGTGCCAAGCTTTATCATACCGCCAGCACGACATTTTTTTGTCTTTTGGATGGCACTGCCAGCCATTGTTGTCTGAAAACCCGGAAGCCCGGTTAACATGGCGCATGGAGGCCGATGTATGGGCCAAGAACTGGTGGTTTAACCCGCCAGTACTTGGCCCAGCTATCAAGTCCGGGCCTCCTGCGACCGGTATGCCGAGCCTTGCCGAGCCTAGAGCTACTGGTAGTGGGACAGCCACCCTTTCGAAAAAAAAGCAAAAAATAAAAATAAAAACATTTTTTTTTTTTTGAAATGCCCCTCTGACGGCCGACTTACCCTATCACACCCCTCTGACAACAATGGAAGTTCCTGAAAAAACCCTGACGTCGTTTGGCCTGAAATATGTTCAATACGCCCCTACCGGGACCCATTCCAAATTTCCAGTATGCCCCAGTAGCTCCCCTCCCAGGGCCAGGGGAACGGCCGCGAGTGCCACCAATGGCCACAGCCGCATGCTGGAAAGTTGCACCCGTCACTGGCATGGGGCTGCAGGAAGCTTCAGCGGGGCCATGGCCACGACAGGGTAAGTTGGCCATCAGGTGAGCATACTGCGAAAAATGGAAGTCGGAGGGGCCCTTGTGACGAACTATTTTCTGAAATCACGCGACTTCCTGCGCGAAGCTGCTTGGGGAAATATGACGGGTCGAATGGGTGAGCTGTGGGAAGATGGGTCGGGCGGGCACATTGCATGGATGTCCTCGTTTCTTTTCGTTTTCTGCTGGGAGTTGTCGGATCGGTGTCAGGAAGATCCCGTGCCAACGGTTGGGTAGCCACGCCTTGGCGAGCGCGAGAAATAACTATACCATAGCTCTTTCTTGTTCTGTTGTGAGCACTGGGAATTTTGGCGCGATCATCGCGCGGGAATATCGTTTCTTTTTTTTTTTTCAACTGATGATGAGCCCCCACGGCCTCACAGAATTGTTTTTCTCTTCTGCTTTTTCGGAAATTCCTGTTGCAATTAGGACTAAGGCTAGGAATTTAGGTACTCTGAATTTTGTTTCGCCGCGCTTGCGCGCATCTTGCCGCGCTGGGAACTGGGCTCTGACTGGGGGAGGTACCTGGGAGGTACCTTGGAGGTACCTTGATTTCAGGTGCGATTTTGCCCCAGCCGCTCTCAAGTTTCAAGGATGCACACTAGAGAGCAGGAAAGTGAAAACCTAACTGAGGTGTCATTAGGGAGGGGTGGAACAAAGAATTTTCCTTCAGCCCTTCAAGTGGTGTCAAACAAGGCCCTTAGGATTGCGTGTTTTTTTGCACTTTGGATTTCGCGGTTTTCATGGGGATAGAAAAACGTGTAACTGGGGTTACTCTGTTTTTGGTTTTTGGTGACTCGTTTCTCGTGGTCTGGGATGGGTTTGGCCGGTGTCGACCGGTAGAAGGGGTCTGCCGGCACGCCGTCTGAACCCTATGCCTCGCGCCGCGTCTGTCACCCGCGGGAGGGTCGGTCAGGGCTCCTGTAACCTGCACAAAACATGTCAGTCCACATCAACGAATACAAGTACCGTAACCGACTGCGACCAATGCAAGAAGAAACTCACGAAACNACATGTCAGTCCACATCAACGAATACAAGTACCGTAACCGACTGCGACCAATGCAAGAAGAAACTCACGAAACACTGTCTGGCAGAAATAATAGACGTAGTTCCATTCAGTCAAAAACAATGGGATGGGAAACACTCGTCCCGACCCCAGCCGTACACCTCGCCCTTGTATCAGGAAAGTCCGTCTGAGTCCCTACAGATCTAGTCAACAAACGTTGTCTAATCCTCCTCCCGATTGGGTAACGCCTGTAACGCGCTCGTCGATCCCAAGGAACAGTGCTCGAACTCTCAGTGTCGGAAGTAGCCTCCCTCGCCCATCGGGGCCAAAGCTCCAGATCCACCGTGACCATAGTTCGGGTGCGCCTCCTCGAAAGCCTGCTTCGCAAAAGTACCCGTTCGAAAAGCCCCCTTCGGACGTACCCCTTCGGAAAGCCCTCTTCACGAAGGTACCCCTTCAAGAAGCCCCTTTCGGACGTACCCCTTCGGAAACCTCTTCGGGATAGTGTCCCTTCGGTAAAATGCGGTGAAAATGTACGCTCGGTAAAAGAATTACAAATGGATATAAGCTCCTTAAAAATAGAGTCCACTGCATGAGGAACTTCCTTATTTCTTGAAAATCTATACATTGGCAAATACCATAAGATAGGGCGTTATCTTATAGGGGAAATCGAATTAGATGACAAGCTTAGAAAGGAAGCTCAACAATATTGTGTCAAGGCAAGACACCTCTTTAAAAGACCACCTAAAAATGGAATGCCAATGAGAGTGGTCTGTGATGAGGACGAGCGCCGAGAGATAATAGCGGAACTTCACGATGGCATCGTCGGAGGACATAGAGGAGTAAGAGAAACTTTTGAAAAAATTAGGAACCTCTACTGGTGGGACGGCGTATATAAGGACGTAGAATCATACTGTCTGACATGCGTGGAATACCAGAAGAGAGCGATAGTTAAATATAAAGAACCCTTATTTCCTTCCTATCCCACAGCAATAGGCCAGGAGGTGCACGTAGACCTAGTTAAAATGCCAAAGGGAGAAGGAGGAATGAATTACATCATGGACATTAGAGACGACTTGACTGGATTCGTAGAGGCATGGCCACTACGTCAAAAAACAGGTAAAGCAGTTGGTGGCTATTTGACTGAATATATCGTTCGCTACGGCTGCGTTGGAAAAATTGTCATGGATAGGGGATCAGAGTTTATGGCTAAGGAAGTCCAAGAATTGCTCCAAAGAGCGGGAATACGAGTGTTGCCATCCACAGCATATCATCCTCAAACTAACGCTCTTGTAGAAAGAGGGCACCAGTCTCTAGTCAACGCGCTCGCTAAATGGTACGAAGGAAAGGAGAAGAACTGACCAAAATATTTGAGATTCGTCGTCTGGGCAGATAAATTACGGTTCGCTCGACTACAGGATACCCGCCCTATACGTTATGGTTTGGACGACATTGTCCCTTACCTATAGAATTTCATATCGACTCTTGGCAAACGATTGACTGGGAAGAGATCTCCACTAGAGAACAGTTGCTGGCCGCAAGAATCAAACAAATAGCCGAAACTCTTCAAGATAACATCCTAGACACCATAGACAAATTAAAGATTAAAAGAGGAAAAGAGAAAGAAAGATGGGATAGGAACCTTCGCGTCAGGCAATAAGGGATACCTACAGGGAGCCTCGTCCTGCTCTATGACTCCTCATTAGAGAGAACATGGACAGGGAAGCTAGCAAACAGATGGATGGGGCCCTATAAAGTGGTCAAAAGACTAGAAGGCGGAGCCTACTTAATAGTGGAATTAGACGGCACAAGATGAAAGGAACCGGTTTCTGGAGCCTGTCTTAAAGTATTTAAAGACCGAACAGAGAATATCCCACGTATGGGAAAAATCAGGCAGAAGGATGAGGTCCATAAACACCCAGAAAAAGGTAAGAAGAAGGATCAACCCTTAGAAGAACCCACACCACCAACCACCTCTGAAGTAGGAGAGCCCTCTAATCGACATACAACAGAGACT